AAAAGGGAAAGGACGAGGACGACGACAAAGAGGAGGCAAACGGAGAAGCCTCTTCCACACGCCGACAGGGTCGGCAGATTTGCAGTTTGTGGCGTTTATTTTTCTGTTTGCTGCTCTTCTGTGAGCGCGGGGCAGGGTCACGCCCGTGAGGGGCACAAGGTTTTCGGCCGAAGCCAGGCGCACCTCGAACCTCCCAGCCGCCCTGCTGCACCCTCAGGGCCCGGCCGTTCTTGCCCCCCCCGTTTGCAATCGAAGCTAATTTCTTCAAGTTCTTGGTTGGGTGCTTCGTCTTATCCCTCAGTTGGCCTGCCCTGGTTTCTCTGTGCGCAGAAGGCTGCTCTTAACGCTGGCCTGTTGTCTGGCGTTGCATTCACAATATTCTTCGCGGTTCCGACTGCCCCCGTGGTCGTGCCCTATTTTGCGTTTTGTTGGGCCATTGCGGTTCGGACGTATACGGCTTGCCGTGGCTTCATTGGCAGTGCGGTGTTATGTGGTGTTTTAGCGGCCGAGTCCCGTGGTTTGACAGCGTCTTTTTGCCCGGAAGGCACTGCGGCCGCATTGGTCGCGCCACACTAGTGCACGCTGCGTGCGCGAGCATGTGCGGGCTAGGGCGGCCGCAGCGATGCGGCAGCCAGCGCCGAGCAGACATTGCAATCGCCGCCCCACATGTGTTGCAAACCAAGCTCCTGGTGGGCGGGCGTTTTTTCCCCAACCATCCTGTGGAGTCGGGTCCTCGTTTTGAAGAGAGATTACCCGCGTTCTCCTCCTCTCGCCCCCCCCCCCTACCGTCCGCAGGCGTCCCGCACACCCAGTACAACGTTTCGTGGCCCCATAGGGGGCCCCACCGAGGGTTTCAGTGCTGCTGTCCGCATGCGCCCCGCACACCCAGCACAGCGTCTCGTAGCCCCAAGGGGAGCCCCACCGAAGGTCCCAGTGCTACCGTCCGCATGCGCCCCGCCGCCGCCCCGCACATCCAGTACAGAGTTTCGTGACCCTCATCCCCCTCCCCCCTTGCGTTCCACCCACCCAGTACAGCGTCCCGTGGCCCCCTAGGGAGCCCCACCAAAGGTCTCAGCGCTACCGTCCGCACGCGCCCCGCACACCCAGTACATCGCTTCGTGGCGCCATAGGAAGCCCCACCGAGGGTCCCAGCGCTACCGGCCGCATGCGTCCCGCACGCCCACGGAGCCCCACCGAAGGTCCCAGCGCTACCGTCCGCATGCGCCCCGCACACCCAGTACAACGTTTCGTGGCCCTCCCCCTCCTCCCTCCGTTTCACCCACCCAGTACACTGTTTTATGGCCCCCTAGGGAGCCCCACCGAGGGTCCCAGCGCTACCGGCCGCATGCGTCGTTGCCCCGTGGGGGGGCCACCGAAGGTCTCAGCGCTACCGTCCGCATGCGTCCCGCACACCCAGCACAACGCTTCGTAGCCATTTTAGGAAGCCCCAACGAGGGTCCCAGTGCTACAGTCCGCACGCGTCCCGCACACCCAGCACAGCGTCTCGTAGCCCCACAGGGGGCCCCACCGAGGATTGCCACCGTCCGCACGCGTCCCGCACACCCAGTATAGCGTTTCGTGGCCCTCCTCCCCCTCCCTGCGTTTCACCCACCCAGTACACCGCTTCGTGGCCCCATGGGGCGCTCCACCGATGGTCCCAGTGCTACCGGCCGCAGGCGTCGTGGCCGCCTGGGAGACCCCACCGAAGGTCCCAGCGCTTCCGTCCGCACACGCCCCGCACACCCAGTAGAGCGTTTCGTGGCCCTCCTCCCCCTCCTCCCTGCGTTTCACCTGCCCAGTCCGGCGCTTCGTGGCCCCATAGGGAACTCCACCGAAGGCCCCAGTGCCCCCGTCCGCCTGCGCCCTGGAGGCTAACTTTCCCAATTCTGAGGGCGCTCCTAGGGCGCCGCGGGCGCCAGCGACAGCTGAGCGGGCGGCCCCGGGCTGCGGGAATATATATATATATATATATATATGTGTGTGTGTGTGTGTGTGTGTGTGTGTGTGTGTGTGTGTGTGTGTGTGTGTGTGTGTGTGTGTGTGTGTGTGTGTGTGTGTGTGTGTGTGTGTGTGGTGTGTGTGTGTGTGTGTGTGTGTGTGTGTGTGTGTGTGTGTGTGTGTGTGTGTGTGTGTGTGTGTGTGTGTGTGTGTGTGTGTGTGTGTGTGTGTGTGGTGTGTGTGTGTGTGTGTGTGTGTGTGTGTGTGTGTGTGTGTGTGTGGTGTGTGTGTGTGTGTGTGTGTGTGTGTGTGTGTGTGTGTGTGTGTGTGTGTGTGTGTGTGTGTGTGTGTGTGTGTGTGTGTGTGTGTGTGTGTGTGTGTGTGTTGTGTGTGTGTGTGTGTGTGTGTGTGTGTGTGTGTGTGTGTGTGTGTGTGTGGTGTGTGTGTGTGTGTGTGTGTGTGTGTGTGTGTGTTGTGTGTGTGTGTGTGTGTGTGTGTGTGTGTGTGTGTGTGTGTGTGTGTGTGTGTGTGTGTGTGTGTGTGTGTGTGTTGTGTGTGTGTGTGTGTGTGTGTGTGTGTGTGTGTGTGTGTGTGTGTGTGTGTGTGTGTGTGTGTGTGTGTGTGTGTGTGTGTGTGTGTGTGTGTGTGTGTGTGTGTGTGTGTGTGGTGTGTGTGTGTGTGTGTGTGTGTGTGTGTGTGTGTGTGTGTGTGGTGTGTGTGTTGTGTGTGTGTGTGTGTGTGTTGTGTGTGTGTGTGTGTGTGTGTGTGTGTGTGTGTTGTGTGTGTTGTGTGTGTTGTGTGTGTGTGTGTATATATATAAAAAAAAAAAAAAAAAAAAAAAAAAAAAAAAAAAAAAAAAAAAAAAAAAAAAAAAAAAAAAAAAAAAAAACGGCATTCACGCTGGCGCCCGCCTCGCCCTCGGCACGGTCCAGCCAGTCGGGGACGAGCTGCCCGCTTCGACAGCGAAGGGCGTTGGGAGCGGCGTGGGCCGGGCGGGTGGCGCAGGTGCTTCCCTCGGGCCGCGCCCTGGGCTGCCAGGCCCGCGTAGGCTGCACGGGTCCTCTCCTGCGCTCGTCAGCACTGTCTGGTCTACGACGTGGCACGCGCCCTTCTCTGTCTTTTCGACGCCCAGCACTGCCAGCTCCGTCAAATCTTGGCCCTTCGTCGGATCACGGCGCCGCCGCGTCCTTTGCGGCACGGTTTGCTCAGTCTGCACCCGCTTGGCCAGCCAGCGCGCCAACAGATCACGGATTCGATCGTGCCGGCCGGTGCGCGCGGGCCCCCACTGGCACGCGACGGCATGCAAAAATCCGCGAAACACCCCCTCGTGGGATGTGTTTTGACCGCGCGTCTGTAACGCAGGGTTTTCAAGCAGCGGCGCGCCCTCCACCAGGACGCGCCTCTGCAAGGACAATCGGCACAGGTCGGCCGTCATTCGCTGCTCTGGCGTCGTGGGCAGCTAGGTGGCGGCCCCCGCGCCATTGCCTCCGCGGGACCGAATGCGGCCCAGCGCGCGGTCGTCAAAGCCGTTCTTGGCCCGCGCGCGCAGGACCTCCAGTCTTTCAGTCGGCGCCGCTCGCCCTGCGCCAACGAGACCTGGAGGCTCTCCTCCTCCTCCTCCTCCATTTCCTCCTCCCCCATTCTTTCTCCTTCTAAATAACTTCTCCCTGTCGCACCCTGGGGCCAGTTTTTAGTGCCGGGTGGGGCGTTTCGCTTAAGATCCCCCACCTCTCAGGACCCTGACACTTACACACTGGCCACAGCTTCACAGATGGAAGCCGGGTGGTTTTGAAAATGTGGTTCTCATCTTAGCGCCGCACACATTCGTTTTCAAAAATTGCAAGAGCTTCCTGGATTGAGGTTGGCTGGCTTTCAAAGTTGTCTTTCTTCTTTTGGTGCCGCGCATATTCGTTTTCAAGTTTTGCACGAGCTTCACAGATTGAGGGCGGCTTCTTTTTCAAGATGTGGCCCTCACTTACCGCGCACATTCGTTGTCAAGTTCTGCAGGAGTTTCACGGATTGATGGCGGATCGCCTTCAAAATGTGATTCCTCGCCGTAGCGCCGCGCATATTTGTTTTCAAATTTTGCCAGAACTTCACGGATTGAGGGCGGCTCTTTTTCAAGATGCAGCCTTCGCTTGCCGCGCACATTCGTCTTCAATATTTTTTCAAAAAGCTCCATTACTTGAGGGTGGGTATTTTTCAAGTTCTCCACATGTGGCTCTCGCTTTGGCGCCACGCACATTCGTTGTCAAGTTTTGCAAAAGCTTCACGGATTGAGGGCGGCTCTTTCTCAAGATGCGGCCTTCGCTTGCCGCGCACATTCGTTTTCAAGCTTGGCAAGAGTTTCACGGAATGAGGGCGAATCGTTTTATATATATATATATTATATATATATATATATATATATATATATATATATATATATATAGAGGTGACTCTCGCCGTAGCGCCGCGCACATTCGTCGTTAAATTCTGCAAGAGCTTCACGGATTGAGGGCGGATGGTTTTCAAAAGTTGGTTTTCTCATTAGCGCCGCGCACATTCTTCCCAAGCAACTGCAAGACTTCCACTGATCACTGATTCACGCGATCGACGTACCAGTCGCGCTTTGGAAGGATTCAGTATTATGGGAGCGCAACAGTTACGATGATTCGCGGCGTTGCAGTCCCGGGATTGGCGGTCTGGCACGACTCAGGGCCGCCAAGACGCAACAGTCAAATTTATCCGTGGCGTTGGAGTACCGAGAACAATGTTGTGGCATGTGTAAGGGTCTTCACACGGTTGTCTTCCAACGAGGCAGGTTCCTCTCTGCGGAACTGAATCATTGTAGGGGCCTGTGACGGGCGAGCGTGGGGTGCGCTTATTCCAGCATCGTTGGTGATTCTTGGGTTTACATTGGTTCTCCTCCTCCTCCTCCTCCTCCTCCTCCTCCTCCTCCTCCTCCCCCTCCTCCTCCTCCTCCTCCTCCTCCTCCTCCTCCTCCTCCTCCTCCTCCTCCTGTAGCCATTCTGGCTCAAGATGCTTTCCTGGGGGGCTGTTCAGCCTCCAGGCGAAAGGGAGACCTCTGAACCGAGGACATACCCTGTTGGCTTTTCCAGCCTCCCCTTGCGAGGGTGCACCATTCACCCGTGGGGGAGGCAGTCGGGCGCGCTGCCATGTCGTGGCGCAAGCGTGCGCCGTGGCACAATGGCGGCAAAGGTTGGAACAAGAGTGGCAAGTCGAATCAGAAGCCGTACGATGTCTGTGCGGACTGCGGGCATTGGGAGTACCAGTCGCATGGCAACTTCTGCTGTTCGCTTTTCGGTGGCGAGCACTTGGGTGATGCGCCGCGTGGTCATGATGCTGGCCGTGGCAATGGTGTCCGTGACGCCGCAGCCGCAGGAGAGCGTGGAGATGGTCCTGACGCTGAGCTTCGCGCTGCTGCTGCCCTTCTGCTTGCCGCTAAGCCCGATCTACGTGAAGGTCTTGCTGAGTTCGTGGAGGAACCTCCCGTCGCGGTGGAGCCTGAATGGTCTACGTCCAGGTTGCAGGATGCAGCCAGTGCTGAGCGTACCCGCCTCACTCGTGTCGTCGAGGATGCGGCCAAGGCGGTGCGCTTGGCCTCTCAAGAAGTACATCATCGTAAAACCAAGGTGCAGAAGCTCGAGGAGCAGCTGGCGGAAGCCAAGGCCAACCTGGCTACCGACACTGCGCCCCATCAGAAGGCGCAGAATGAGAAGACTGCCGCCGATTTGGCCCTCCAGCAGTTCAACGAGGACGCCTGGATCGAGCGGAAGCGACTTGACCAGCGCAAAGCTCGTGGAGCTGCTGCGGCCGCTGCTCGTGCTGGGGATGCGCCTGGAGCCCCTGCTGGCGCTGGCGAGCGCGCTGAGGGAGCTGCTCGCGGTGCCGCCGGCCGAGGCGCACGCGACAATGATGTCCGCATGGCTCCGGAGACGATGCCGAACCTGGGCGAGATGGGTGAGGAGCAGCTCCGCGCCTACGCTGCAGAACAAAACCTTCCCCTGGGGCTCCTCTTGCAGTTCCAGGGCATGGCGAAGCGCCTCGCCCAGGGGGCTACGGTTGATCTTGATGCTGATAGTGATGCTGGCAGTGACGCTGGCGATCTCCCTGGCCCCGAGGCTGAGGAGCTCAAAACACTGCGCAAGCGGGCCTGTGCCGAGGTCCTTGGCCCTGACGACATGTTCAGGATGGAGCACCTCATGGTCCAGCGGTCCAAGGCTCGCACGTCGAAGCGCCTCAAGACCGCTGCTGACGCTGCCTCGGCTGACTTCGCCGACCTGGTCCGCGCCACCGTGGCGCAGATGCCGGCGCAGCCTGGGCTTTAGCAACGTGAGTGGGTGCACCACATTTCTGTTCTGTAATGTTACGCAGTGGAGCTATTTGACCAAGAGCTTCATATCTAATTTGCATGGCAAGGCTGACGCCTTCTTCTTTGCCGAGCACCGCCAGCTCCCCCATCAATTGAAAGCTGCCAAACGGGAATGTGCCACGATGAAGTGGCGCCCCCATTTTGTCCCAGCGCAGTGCACTTCTGGAGGAGGTGCTCATGGCGGGGCGGGGGCGTGTGTTCACAGAGGTTTATGTTTTAAGAAGTTTCTTGCTCACGATGGATGTGTGCAGGAGGTGGGTGCTGGAAACGGGTGGATGTTCCTGGAGTTGCGCACCCAGAGGTCGGTCTTGGGCGTCGGCGTCGTGTATATGGTTGCTGATTTGGGCGCGTCGGGCGAAAACATTCGGAAGATGAAAGAGATCCATACTTTCGTTCAAACCTTGGCTGTGCCGTGGGTTCTCATGGGGGACTTCAATTTCGACATTGAGTTGATGCAGCTGTGCGGGTTCTTGAAGATGACCTGTGCCCGTGCGATTCCACCTGCAGGAGTCGCCCACACGTGCTCGCAGGGCCAGGGCACGCTGATAGATTATGTAGTCGCCTCGGAGACCCTCGCCGTAGCGCCGCGCACATTCGTCGTTAAATTCTGCAAGAGCTTCACGGATTGAGGGCGGATGGTTTTCAAAAGTTGGTTTTCTCATTAGCGCCGCGCACATTCTTCCCAAGCAACTGCAAGACTTCCACTGATCACTGATTCACGCGATCGACGTACCAGTCGCGCTTTGGAAGGATTCAGTATTATGGGAGCGCAACAGTTACGATGATTCGCGGCGTTGCAGTCCCGGGATTGGCGGTCTGGCACGACTCAGGGCCGCCAAGACGCAACAGTCAAATTTATCCGTGGCGTTGGAGTACCGAGAACAATGTTGTGGCATGTGTAAGGGTCTTCACACGGTTGTCTTCCAACGAGGCAGGTCCCTCTCTGCGGAACTGAATCATTGTAGGGGCCTGTGACGGGCGAGCGTGGGGTGCGCTTATTCCAGCATCGTTGGTGATTCTTGGGTTTACATTGGTTCTCCTCCTCCTCCTCCTCCTCCTCCTCCTCCTCCTCCTCCTCCCCCTCCTCCTCCTCCTCCTCCTCCTCCTCCTCCTCCTCCTCCTCCTCCTCCTGTAGCCATTCTGGCTCAAGATGCTTTCCTGGGGGGCTGTTCAGCCTCCAGGCGAAAGGGAGACCTCTGAACCGAGGACATACCCTGTTGGCTTTTCCAGCCTCCCCTTGCGAGGGTGCACCATTCACCCGTGGGGGAGGCAGTCGGGCGCGCTGCCATGTCGTGGCGCAAGCGTGCGCCGTGGCACAATGGCGGCAAAGGTTGGAACAAGAGTGGCAAGTCGAATCAGAAGCCGTACGATGTCTGTGCGGACTGCGGGCATTGGGAGTACCAGTCGCATGGCAACTTCTGCTGTTCGCTTTTCGGTGGCGAGCACTTGGGTGATGCGCCTCGTGGTCATGATGCTGGCCGTGGCAATGGTGTCCGTGACGCCGCAGCCGCAGGAGAGCGTGGAGATGGTCCTGACGCTGAGCTTCGCGCTGCTGCTGCCCTTCTGCTTGCCGCTAAGCCCGATCTACGTGAAGGTCTTGCTGAGTTCGTGGAGGAACCTCCCGTCGCGGTGGAGCCTGAATGGTCTACGTCCAGGTTGCAGGATGCAGCCAGTGCTGAGCGTACCCGCCTCACTCGTGTCGTCGAGGATGCGGCCAAGGCGGTGCGCTTGGCCTCTCAAGAAGTACATCATCGCAAAACCAAGGTGCAGAAGCTCGAGCAGCTGGCGGAAGCCAAGGCCAACCTGGCTACCGACACTGCGCCCCATCAGAAGGCGCAGAATGAGAAGACTGCCGCCGATTTGGCCCTCCAGCAGTTCAAGGAGGATGCCTGGATCGAGCGGAAGCGACTTGACCAGCGCAAAGCTCGTGGAGCTGCTGCGGCCGCTGCTCGTGCTGGGGATGCGCCTGGAGCCCCTGCTGGCGCTGGCGAGCGCGCTGAGGGAGCTGCTCGCGGTGCCGCCGGCCGAGGCGCACGCGACAATGATGTCCGCATGGCTCCGGAGACGATGCCGAACCTGGGCGAGATGGGTGAGGAGCAGCTCCGCGCCTACGCTGCAGAACAAAACCTTCCCCTGGGGCTCCTCTTGCAGTTCCAGGGCATGGCGAAGCGCCTCGCCCAGGGGGCTACGGTTGATCTTGATGCTGGCAGTGACGCTGGCGATCTCCCTGGCCCCGAGGCTGAGGAGCTCAAAACACTGCGCAAGCGGGCCTGTGCCGAGGTCCTTGGCCCTGACGACATGTTCAGGATGGAGCACCTCATGGTCCAGCGGTCCAAGGCTCGCACGTCGAAGCGCCTCAAGACCGCTGCTGACGCTGCCTCGGCTGACTTCGCCGACCTGGTCCGCGCCACCGTGGCGCAGATGCCGGCGCAGCCTGGGCTTTAGCAACGTGAGTGGGTGCACCACATTTCTGTTCTGTAATGTTACGCAGTGGAGCTATTTGACCAAGAGCTTCATATCTAATTTGCATGGCAAGGCTGACGCCTTCTTCTTTGCCGAGCACCGCCAGCTCCCCCATCAATTGAAAGCTGCCAAACGGGAATGTGCCACGATGAAGTGGCGCCCCCATTTTGTCCCAGCGCAGTGCACTTCTGGAGGAGGTGCTCATGGCGGGGCGGGGGCGTGTGTTCACAGAGGTTTATGTTTTAAGAAGTTTCTTGCTCACGATGGATGTGTGCAGGAGGTGGGTGCTGGAAACGGGTGGATGTTCCTGGAGTTGCGCACCCAGAGGTCGGTCTTGGGCGTCGGCGTCGTGTATATGGTTGCTGATTTGGGCGCGTCGGGCGAAAACATTCGGAAGATGAAAGAGATCCATACTTTCGTTCAAACCTTGGCTGTGCCGTGGGTTCTCATGGGGGACTTCAATTTCGACATTGAGCTGATGCAGCTGTGCGGGTTCTTGAAGATGACCTGTGCCCGTGCGATTCCACCTGCAGGAGTCGCCCACACGTGCTCGCAGGGCCAGGGCACGCTGATAGATTATGTAGTCGCCTCGGAGACCCTCGCCGTAGCGCCGCGCACATTCGTCGTTAAATTCTGCAAGAGCTTCACGGATTGAGGGCGGATGGTTTTCAAAAGTTGGTTTTCTCATTAGCGCCGCGCACATTCTTCCCAAGCAACTGCAAGACTTCCACTGATCACTGATTCACGCGATCGACGTACCAGTCGCGCTTTGGAAGGATTCAGTATTATGGGAGCGCAACAGTTACGATGATTCGCGGCGTTGCAGTCCCGGGATTGGCGGTCTGGCACGACTCAGGGCCGCCAAGACGCAACAGTCAAATTTATCCGTGGCGTTGGAGTACCGAGAACAATGTTGTGGCATGTGTAAGGGTCTTCACACGGTTGTCTTCCAACGAGGCAGGTTCCTCTCTGCGGAACTGAATCATTGTAGGGGCCTGTGACGGGCGAGCGTGGGGTGCGCTTATTCCAGCATCGTTGGTGATTCTTGGGTTTACATTGGTTCTCCTCCTCCTCCTCCTCCTCCTCCTCCTCCTCCTCCTCCTCCCCCTCCTCCTCCTCCTCCTCCTCCTCCTCCTCCTCCTCCTCCTCCTCCTCCTGTAGCCATTCTGGCTCAAGATGCTTTCCTGGGGGGCTGTTCAGCCTGCAGGCGAAAGGGAGACCTCTGAACCGAGGACATACCCTGTTGGCTTTTCCAGCCTCCCCTTGCGAGGGTGCACCATTCACCCGTGGGGGAGGCAATCGGGCGCGCTGCCATGTCGTGGCGCAAGCGTGCGCCGTGGCACAATGGCGGCAAAGGTTGGAACAAGAGTGGCAAGTCGAATCAGAAGCCGTACGATGTCTGTGCGGACTGCGGGCATTGGGAGTACCAGTCGCATGGCAACTTTTGCTGTTCGCTTTTCGGTGGCGAGCACTTGGGTGATGCGCCTCGTGGTCATGATGCTGGCCGTGGCAATGGTGTCCGTGACGCCGCAGCCGCAGGAGAGCGTGGAGATGGTCCTGACGCTGAGCTTCGCGCTGCTGCTGCCCTTCTGCTTGCCGCTAAGCCCGATCTACGTGAAGGTCTTGCTGAGTTCGTGGAGGAACCTCCCGTCGCGGTGGAGCCTGAATGGTCTACGTCCAGGTTGCAGGATGCAGCCAGTGCTGAGCGTACCCGCCTCACTCGTGTCGTCGAGGATGCGGCCAAGGCGGTGCGCTTGGCCTCTCAAGAAGTACATCATCGTAAAACCAAGGTGCAGAAGCTCGAGGAGCAGCTGGCGGAAGCCAAGGCCAACCTGGCTACCGACACTGCGCCCCATCAGAAGGCGCAGAATGAGAAGACTGCCGCCGATTTGGCCCTCCAGCAGTTCAACGAGGACGCCTGGATCGAGCGGAAGCGACTTGACCAGCGCAAAGCTCGTGGAGCTGCTGCGGCCGCTGCTCGTGCTGGGGATGCGCCTGGAGCCCCTGCTGGCGCTGGCGAGCGCGCTGAGGGAGCTGCTCGCGGTGCCGCCGGCCGAGGCGCACGCGACAATGATGTCCGCATGGCTCCGGAGACGATGCCGAACCTGGGCGAGATGGGTGAGGAGCAGCTCCGCGCCTACGCTGCAGAACAAAACCTTCCCCTGGGGCTCCTCTTGCAGTTCCAGGGCATGGCGAAGCGCCTCGCCCAGGGGGCTACGGTTGATCTTGATGCTGATAGTGATGCTGGCAGTGACGCTGGCGATCTCCCTGGCCCCGAGGCTGAGGAGCTCAAAACACTGCGCAAGCGGGCCTGTGCCGAGGTCCTTGGCCCTGACGACATGTTCAGGATGGAGCACCTCATGGCCCAGCGGTCCAAGGCTCGCACGTCGAAGCGCCTCAAGACCGCTGCTGACGCTGCCTCGGCTGACTTCGCCGACCTGGTCCGCGCCACCGTGGCGCAGATGCCGGCGCAGCCTGGGCTTTAGCAACGTGAGTGGGTGCACCACATTTCTGTTCTGTAATGTTACGCAGTGGAGCTATTTGACCAAGAGCTTCATATCTAATTTGCATGGCAAGGCTGACGCCTTCTTCTTTGCCGAGCACCGCCAGCTCCCCCATCAATTGAAAGCTGCCAAACGGGAATGTGCCACGATGAAGTGGCGCCCCCATTTTGTCCCAGCGCAGTGCACTTCTGGAGGAGGTGCTCATGGCGGGGCGGGGGCGTGTGTTCACAGAGGTTTATGTTTTAAGAAGTTTCTTGCTCACGATGGATGTGTGCAGGAGGTGGGTGCTGGAAACGGGTGGATGTTCCTGGAGTTGCGCACCCAGAGGTCGGTCTTGGGCGTCGGCGTCGTGTATATGGTTGCTGATTTGGGCGCGTCGGGCGAAAACATTCGGAAGATGAAAGAGATCCATACTTTCGTTCAAACCTTGGCTGTGCCGTGGGTTCTCATGGGGGACTTCAATTTCGACATTGAGCTGATGCAGCTGTGCGGGTTCTTGAAGATGACCTGTGCCCGTGCGATTCCACCTGCAGGAGTCGCCCACACGTGCTCGCAGGGCCAGGGCACGCTGATAGATTATGTAGTCGCCTCGGAGACCCTCGCCCCGTTCTTGAAAGTCACGAAGTACGAGAACTCGCCTTTCAAGATTCATGCGTGTTTGCAGGTAGTGTTGCCGCACGCGGCCCTGCTCCAAGAGATGACCAAACGCTGCAAACCTCGAGCTTTCCCTGTTGTCCAGGGGCCAGAACTTCCTTGGACTCGGCATATTGAGTTGGCCTGTCGGGATTGGGCCCCGCCGGTGCGAAATCCAGATGTTCGGCTTGTCCCACATGTTCAGGATCATCTGTCGGCGGAGCTTACTAACACCTACCTTCTGCGGCCCCGGGGTTCTGAGAGTATAGCCCTGGGCGGAGAGAGGTTTCAAAATGGTGGACTCGATGATGTTGAACATGATTTTGAACCGTATCTGGGAAGGGGGGATTTCTTTAGCACTAGACGGACTACGTTGACTGCGAACAATGGTTGTGGCAAGGCGTACTCCGATCCCGTGTTGTGTTTCTGGTCGCACCTCTCTCAGAAGCTATTTGAACTTCGAGTGGCCCTTGAACATGGGCACATCAAGATGTCTCGGGATCTGGCTCGGCGAGTTTCCTATCTTGGCAGATATGTTGACCAGTGCTCGTCTTGCCTGCCTCCGACGCAGACCTCACAGGCGTGGCAGGCTCAGCTTGCCCAGATGGAGTCTGGTAGCTCTGCGCTCAGCACCGATCTGCGCGATTTCCTAGTCTTTGAGTGCTCTGCTGCGCTCGCGAAGGCCTGGTCTGATGCTCGGTCATGTTCTGCTAAGGCGGTTAAGGATTGGCTTATCAAAGCCTTGCCGCGGGGGGCGAAGAAAGCTCACGCGTGGCTTAAAAGGGACGAGGGGGACCCCCTGGAGTTTTTTTGGACCCCTGAGCGAGCCCTGCAGCTGCCTGCTGAAATGATGGCCTATCGTGCCCAACTCTGGGGGCGCTTTTGGACTGCCGGCCCCGATCGGAACGTTGAGCTGGGAGATGCCCTGAGCGAGCTGCGCGGGCGCGCCGTTGAAGTGCAACCTGAACTTCCTGACATCGAGTGTCGGGACGTCTACGTTGCCAGCAGGCTTTTTTCTGAAGACACTGCCGCGGGGGTGGATCATTGGAAACCTCGGGAGTTCATGAACGTCCAGCCTGACGCTCTCGAAGCTCTCGCCCAGCTCTACCGGGGGTGCGAGGAGGCCCTGATGTGGCCCGAGCAGGTCCTCCTTAGCGTGATTGCCCTCCTCCCCAAAAGCAAGGTTGACGAGAGGCCTGCGTGCAAATGCCCCACCCTCTATCGGGTGTATACGAAAATCCGAGGGTCCTTTTTGGATGACTGGAGTCGGGGCCATGTTGCTTTCTGGGACACTGCGATTCGAGGTAGCTCTGCGTTGCAGGCAGCCTTGCGGCGGGAGCTGTCCCACGAGCTCGCCGCTTTCGAGGGCCTGGCCTCGGTCGCTGCGCATTGGGACTTGCGCAAGTTTGTCGACACAGTTTCGCCCGTCCTGTTGATCAGGCTGGGCTGTAAGTTGCAGTTCCCTCCCCATCTTTTGTATATGGGATTGCTCATCCACCTCTCGCCGAGGGTGTTGGAGACGGGGGGGTTCTGCTCAGAACTTATCGAGTCTGGGGTCGGGGCCCTTCCTGGATGCGCACAGAGTACGCCATGGACTAAAGCGTACTTGTACCAGATGCTTGATGATATCCATCGCCGGTTTTTCCCCGTTGTCGTGACCCAGGGGCACGTTGATGATCTCTCTCAGAATGCGCAGGGCAGCGCCGACGATGTGGTCAGCGCTGTTGTACCGGCGGCTCTTCACCTGGCGCGCGGCGTCGACAGGTTGCGCCTGACTATGTCAGACAAGTCGGCGATTGTCAGTAGCAAGCGGTCCGTTAGCTTTCGCATTGCTCGCCAATTTCG